ATTTTGCACATCTAGTAGAAATCCAAACCGTGAATCTAAATCTAGTAAGCGAGAAAATCTTCCTGTTATTTCCATAATCAAGCAATCAATAACATCCTTCATGATGTAATAAATTTCCTGTTTAGCAGTCAATCCAGCATCAGCTGCATTTTCACCTGGCATTCATTTACGACATATTTTCTTCTTTCAATGGTCAACCCCCATGTTTCACATTGATTCTTGCCCACTTGAACTGCTTCTTGACAGGAATTTTCATATGATTCATGAATCAAATCTCTTTCAAAGAATCAAGATCAGCAGCTGCTTCTCTAAAATTTATTTTTGGGTCCTGAAGATGTTTCTGCACTCGATTGATATATGATAAAAGATTTCTCCAAAAATGCAACAGTACAATAAAATCAAATGTAAGCATGCATTGCAGAATATTATGAGCATCACATTTTGTTTCAGCTGTGTTGCCATTCTCACTTAATTGCTCTAAAAGTCCTAGCAATTCATCCAGTTTTTCATGTACAACTTTTACTGCCTTTTCTCTTGCACTCCACCGTGTTTCTGATTCATGCTTGACAGAGATCTTAAACTCCTGCTGCAGTTCATCCCATAGAGTTGTTGAATAAACAAAGAAATTATAAATGGCTTCAATTATACCAAAAAAGGTAATAACTGTTGTTTCCTGACTTGCAGCACGAAGACATGCTAAGTTCAAACTATAGTTGTCACAGTTTATAAACACTGCTTTTGGATTTTTGTTCAGAATTCTTTGTTGAACACCTGACAAATGACCTGGTATGACAGCAGCATTATCATGACATTGTGAACAACAATCACTCAATAAAATTCCATCCGCTTATAATTCTGTGCTTATTGTTTTCTCAATATTGGCAGCATCTTTTTCCGTTATCTGTATAAATTCAATAAATGACTCTTTGACTTCTACTTTTCTTGTCTTAAAGTCAATGTCAACAAACCGAATCACTTGGGCCAATTGCTCACGATTGGCTAAATCAGGTGTGGAATATCAAACAGTATACCATAGTATCTGTTTCTACGAATTGCTGAAAAACAATAATTTTGCACATGTGAAGCCATGAGATTTATAAACACCTTTTAGATTTCAGGAGAAAGATAAGATGTTGACATTTGCTTGTTTTTAACACGCTCTAAATGCTCTTTAATTACTGTATCATACTTTGCTTATAACTGCAAAAGTGACAGGAAATTTTCAGGGTTTTCATTTGAGGTTATATCCTCAGTATGACCATGAAATGCAAGATTCTAAGAAGCTAAATCTTGTGTACATTCCAGCATCCGTTGTAGTACATCCCTCCATTTATTTTTTGCTTGCTGAATTTGCCTTTGCAGCTCTTCATCAATACTATTTTGAAGACAAATTTGGCACTCAGTTTCTTTCCAAGCAGCAAATAACTCACGATGACTGTCACTATTTTCATAGGTATTTAGCTTTTCAATTTTTTTCCATTTAGAGAATCCACCCTGTGTTTTGAAAGCAGACCGACTATAGGATGTCATACATGTAGATGCCAATTCACATCCTGTTGGTTAATTTTAACATTACTCTCACAGTGAGACAAAAACCAATGATACTAGGTAGTACTAAGGTCTTTGTTGTTGAAGCTATGGCAATATAAACGAGTTGTTGTCAAATATAAACAAGTTTTGCTACAACTGTTTGTCAATCAGTCTGATACATATTTAAATAAGTTGATCAGATGTTTTGTAAGTAGTCAATAATTTTCAAGTGCCAAGTTGTAATCCAATTGTCTGATAACAAATATAAAATGAAATGAAGACTGCAAAAGCCCAAACACTTGAGAGCATTAACTTATAGAATGGATATTGTTTAAAACTTGGTTTGAGTTTTTAGGTACTGTGAGATATAAATAATCAGAAAATATGTACACACTGTATTATTAAGCCAATTTTGTGATAATTTATGATTTTAGATTTTTTTCCTTTCTGGTTCCTTTTCTTAACTTCTTGTGTCAAGGTTACATTGTTAAGTCACAAATTACATCTATTGCGTCACTTGTAAAACTCTGGGTCCCAGCATTTTTGAATTGTAAATATCACTCTTGTTTCAATTTTGAAAGTCCTAATAAATACTCTGATTTTTTAAAGAATCCTTCATTAAGATTTCGACTATTCTGAGTGTAGAATAAAAGACTCATTACAACCTTCTTATGCAAACAGACCTTTCCATGTACTTGTATGAAGTTACAATTTCTTATATTTTTTGAGGGGATTAAGTATATATTTCTCTTCAAATTTGGTGACCTATGAGGTAGATTTCAAAAGCTTGACCATATTCTTAACTATCATCCCAAAACATTGTTATCCAGTGTACAAAAGTCAGGCCATTACCACACTGTCCAGGAAAGAAATGGCTCCTTCAAATATAGCACTGCATCTCATTTATGAAACAATATCTTTGTGGTGTCACTTGTAATAAAGCTCAAAATATTGAATATCAAGGCAATTCTCTTGAAGTAACTATACGCTTCATGTTAGTGACATTGTATGTTATATCATACAACATAATTTTCTTCCATGACCTTGGATATTTTGGATATGTATTTGCCTGTATGTCTGTCTACAATTGTGTTATGGTTTTTTTAGACAATAGGTGCTAGTGTAGTAATTACAAAGTTGAAAATTGTTTTATTCTGAACACTACTTCAACCATCACTATGAAGCTCCAGTGTATGGGCATTTGCCACATATAACGTTATGTCATAATCAACTCTTTTAAATTTGATGTTCAGAAGGGGAATTGACAATAACAGAGCTATACATATGCAATGGAGGCAGCTGCCCAATAAACATTTTCATTTATGTTCAAAGGTATGCCTGTGACATATTTTGCACTCATTGGCAACTCTCATCATGACTTTGGTCCTCTGTTGTCAAAAAATTACAAACCTTCTGAAACTGGAGCTTGTATCTATATGAAATGGAATTGATGAAGGAGAGTTAATAAGTAATGTTAAAGTAGTGTGTGTCCCTGAAAAGTTGATATCATGATGATTTTTTTTACATATGCACAGGACACAATCATAATAAGTAGACCTACTACTAGTTCTTAACTCATTAATACTTCAGTTTTACCTAGTTTTTAAGTTGAAAATTTCTTAACCTAATTAAGACATAAATTATTGTAATTTACATGGTAAATCATGCTAGTAATTGTGAGGATGTATATTTTCCCCCAGTGTTTAAGAAATAAAAATTTCCAATTCTTTGTCCTATGAGAGGTTTGGGAATTTTTGGTGTTTC